TCAAGCATCTTTTCTGACCACAATGGTATGAAACTAGTAATCAACTACAAGAAGAAAGCTGGAAAAGTCACAAATACGTGGAAACTAAACAACAGGCTACTGAAAAACTATTGGATCAATGATGAAATCAAAGGAGAAATTTTTTAAAAACCTAGAGACAAATGAAAATGAAAACACAACATACCAAAACATATGGGATGCAGCAAAAGTGGCACTATGAGGAAGGTATATAGCAATACAGGCCTACCTCAAAAAACAAGAAAAATCTTAAATAAATAATCTAACACTACACCTAAAAGAACTAGAAAAAGAAGAACAAAGAAAGCCCAAAGTTAGTAAAAGGAAAGAAATCATAAAAGTCAGAGCAAAAATAAATGAAATAGAGACTAAAAAGACAATAGAAAGATCAATGAAACTAACAGCTGCTTGTTTGAAAAGATAAACAAAATTGACAAGCCCTAAGCTAAACTCACTAATAAAAAAAAAGAAGAAGCCTCAAATAAATAAATCAGGGATGAAAGAGGAGAAATTACCACTGACACCACAGAAATACAAAGGATTATAAGAGAATACGATGAGAAATTATATGCCAACAAATTGGACAATCTAGAAGAAATGGATAAATTCTTAGAATCATACAACCTCCCCAAACTGAATCAAAAAGAAATAGAGAATCTGAATAGACCAATCACAAGTAAAGAGATTGAAACAGTAATAAAAAACCTCCCCAAAAAACAAAAGTCCAAAAACTGGTGAATTCTACCAAACATTCAAAGAAGATTTAATATCTATCCTGCTCAAACTCTTCCAAAAAATTGAAGAAGATGGAGGCTTCCTAACTCATTTTATGAGGCCAATATTACCCTGATACCAAAACCAGACACGAACAACACAAAAAAAGGAAAATTACAGGCCAGTATCGCTGATGATCATAGACACAAAAACCATCAACAAAATATTAGCAAATTGAATACAACAATACATTAAAAGGATCATACACCACGATCAAGTGGGATTTATTCTAGGGATGCAGGGATGGTTCAACATTCGCAAAGCAATCAATGTGATTCAACACTTTAACAAAATGAAGAATAAAAATCACAGAATCATCTCAATAGATGCAGAGAAGCATTTGACAAGATTCAAAATCCATTTATGATAAAAACTCTGAATAAAATGGGTATAGAAGGAAAATACCTCAACATAATAAAGACCATATATGACAAACCCACAGCCAACATCATACCTAACAGTGAAACACTGAAAGCTATTCCTCTATGAATAGGAACGCGATAAGGATGCCCACTCTCACTACTCTTATTCAATGTAGTATTGGAATTTCTAGACAGAGCAATCAGGCAAGAGAAAGAAATGAAAGGGATCCAAATTGGAAATGAAGAAGTAAAACTGTCACTCTTCTGTGGATGACATGATTCCATATATAGAAAACTGTAAAGAATCCACAAAAAAAACTATTAGAAATAATTAATGAATACAGGAAAGTCACAGGGAACAAAATCAACATACAAAAATCAGTTACATTCCTATACACTAACAATGAACTACCAGAAAGAGAAGTCAAGAACACAGTCCCATCTACAATCACAACAAAAAGAATAAAATACCTAGGAATAAATTTAACCAAAGACGTGCAAGACCTATACACTGAAAACTATAAGACATTATTGAGAGGATCAAAGAAGACATAAAGAAAAGGAAAGATATTCTGTGTTCATGGATTAGAAGAATAAACATAGTTAAAATGTCCATATTACTTAAAGCAATCTCCAGATTCAATGCAATCTCATTCAGAATCCCAATGAAATTTTTCACAGAAATAGAACAAAGAATCCTAAAATTTATATGGAACAACAAAAGACCCTGAATAGCAAAAGCAATCCTGAGAAAAAAGAACGAAGCTGGAGGCATCACAATCCTGACTTCAAAATATACTACAAAGCTATAGTAATCAAAACAGCATGGTACTGGTAGAAAGACAGACACACAGATCAATGGAACAGAATTGAGAGTCCAAAAATAAAACCACACATCTATGGACAGCTGATTTTTGACAAAGGAATCAAGAACAGACAATGGAGAAAGGAATATCTCTTCAATAAATGATGTTGGGAAAACTGGACAGCCACATGCAAAAGAATGAAAGTAGACCATTATCTTACATGATATATAAAAATTAACTCAAAATGGATTAAAGACTTGAATGTAAGACTTGAAACCATAAAATTCCTAGAAGAAAACATAGGTAGTATGTTCTTTGACATCGGCCTTAGCAGTATGTTTTTGAATACCATGTTTCCTCAGGCAAGGGAAATAAAAGAAAAAATAAACAAATGGGACTACATCAAACTAAAAAGCTTCTTCACAGCAAAGGAAACCATCAACAAAATGAAAAGACAACCCATCAACTGGGAGAAAATATTTGCAAGTCATATATCCAATAAGGGGTTAATTTCCAAAGTACATAAAGAACTCATGCAATTCAACAACAACAACAAATGAACAACTGGATCAAAATGGGTGGAGGATATCAACAGACATTTTTCTAAAGAAGATATACAGATGGCCAACAGGAACATGAAAAGATGTTCATCGTCACCAATTATTAGGGAAATGCAAACCAAAACTACAATGAGATATCACCTCATACCCATCAGAATGGTTATTATTAAAAAGATAAGAAATAACAAGTCTTGGAGAGGATGTGGAGAAAAGGGAACTCTGATACACTGCTGGTGGGAGTGCAAACTGGTGCAGCCACTATGGAAAACAGTATAGAGATTTCTCAAGAAATTAAAAATAGAAATACTATATGATCTAGCTATTCCACTTCTGAGTATTTATCCAAAAAGCATGACAACACTAATTCGAAAAGATACATGCACCCCTATGTTCATTGCAGCATTATTCACAATAGCCAAGACTTGGAGGCAACCTAAGCACCCATCAATGGATGAGTGGATAAAGAAGATGTGGTATAAATATATATGTACACAATGGAATACTAATCAGCCATAAAAAAGACAAAATTGTGCCATTTGTGACAATGTGGATAGACCGTGAGGACATCATGCTGAGTGAAATAAGTCAGATGGAGAAAGACAAATACTGTATGTTTTCACTCATACGCAGAAGATAAACATACACAGGGATAAAGAGAACAGATTAGTGGTTACCAGAGGGGAAGGGGATGGAGGGAGGGTGAAAGGGGTAAAGAGACACGTGTGTATGGTGACAGATGGCAGCTAGACTTTTGGTGTGAACATGACACAGCCTATACAGAAGCTGAAATATAATGATGTACACTTGCAATTTACGCAATGTTATAAACCAATGTGACCTCAATAAAATAAATTTTAAAAAAAGAATGGATGAAGTGAGAACTAATTATAAGCTGCAGCGATATTCAACAGTTGTACTTTCACTAGGAACACTGAAATTCTAAGTGAAACTTAATAGAAACATGTTATTAATAGCTTGGATGACCTCAAATTAATATTAACCTGGGACTGTAATATCCATGGTCTGTTTATCTTATTTATTGTCGTTTTGCAATCTGCATGATTTATAGTCAGCACAAGCAAAGACTTGCCTTTATAGTTTTCAATCACTGTCAATTAGTCTTAGATCCAAGTAGAAGAACTACTTCTCCAAATAACGGAAAATGAAACTGTATAAAATAGCTAAACCACAGAGAATAGAACTTTTTAAATAAATTTCAGGAAAAAAATAGTCATCTCATAAAACTAAACCTAATTTCAAATTCCATTCTGTGATTTTAATTCTAAAGGCTCTCAGAAATTTTTGGTAAAAAAGTAGTTTAATTCTGCCATGGGTATTTCCCTTACGAAATGGTGCTATTTAGGGATGAATGAAAATTTCAAATTTGCCTTTTAAAGGGGTGAGATTTTGTTTATATTGATTTGGGGTGGTGATTTTCTCGTGTGAATGGTTCAATAGCCAACATGATTAATTCGGGAAGTGGATACTCAGTCAGAAAACAGTATTCCCTCAGTCTTCTGGATCCCTAAGGAGCAGTGCTTTCAGGAACACGGATTCGTTTTGGTGGCTAACGTTATTGAAGCCCTCAGACTGTCACCTAGAATCCCGCCTAAACGGAAGACAGGGCTCTCTGGAGCGATCAGCACTGAGGGCAGCTGAAGGTGTTTCCTCAGATGAGTTTTCTCAGATCGCATTTTGTGGCTGCATTGATAACTCCCTAGCTCTGTCCCTGCAGCCGGGCCAACGGAAGTTGATGGATTGCAGCACCCTATACCTATCATGCTTCACACCCTGGCTAGTTAGAGAAGCCTTTAGTCCCTCGCCAGTGTCGCCAGACTCGCTGTGACTGCAGAGTGGCCAGACTTGAGCGAGAATCGGGGAGCAGGCTGCTGATCCGGAGGGAAAAGACCAATCTAGGGAAGGGTTAAAAGGTGAATGTCTCCAGAGGAGCAAAGGAGCCTGGGCTTTGTGTCTCTGGGAATGAGTTTGGGACTTTCATTCTCCTGAACATTTCCACTATTTCTCTCACAAGCATCTCTGTCTTGAAGCACAGGACCGAAGCAAAATGCCTAATGAAGCGTACCCGGGGAAGGGGCGTGCAAGTGACTTGGGAAGAAGGGCTGGGGCGAGAGAAGAGAGAGGAGTCAGGTTACAGATTCGCACAATCTCACAAAACCGTTCGAAATCATGAGCTGGAGACACAAGTTCTGGGACCCACGCAAGGCCCATGAAGCTTCCTTCGGGCCCCTAAGAATGGGGTGTGCGTCGCAGAAGTGTGTCCGCCGCTCACTTTCGGCGTTTTCCACTTAGTTCAGCCCTTGCATGAAGACCGGTGAGGAAGATGGTGGGTGGGCTTAGCCAAGCTCTGGGTCGCCGCGACCGAGCCGGTGCTATCTTGATTTGCCTAGCATAGGGTCCCTCCGGCCCCGGCGCCCGCATCCGCTGAAGTTCCTGGCCACCCCGCAGCTCTCTCCAGGCAGACGCGGCCGCCCCCGAAGGTGCGCACAGGGTTAGCTGTCACCCGCCCAGGTCCAACTGCCCCGAGGCGGCTGAGCTCGTTTGGCACCAGCTGAGTCCCCACCCCAACCCCAACCCGAGGGGCTCGTCCCCTGCCCTCCTCCCTGGCGAGACAAACGCTGGGCGCCAAGGCCAGCTCGGAGCGGTTTCCAAATCGTTCATTTCCCCCGTCGAGCGAGCTGTTGGCGCTTCTCCAGAAGCCTCCTGGGCTCCCCGCTCCAACCGCTAAAATAACTACACCGTGCCAGAAAGCGGGGGTGGGGGGAAGCGAGAAGGATTTGAACGAGGAGAATGAAAATACTAGGAGAACGACCCCATTCTCCAGGAAAAGGTAATGAGGGGAAGCGAAACAGTGTGAACTTACTCGGAAATGCAAACCAAGCTCCACTCTCTCCCCGGGCGCATACCAACGACCGAAAGACAAATCAGCCAACGCGCTCGGCGGCTTCCCAGAAAGGGCCTCATGAATGAGAATGGGTTGCTAGGTTTCCTCCCTCCCTTCCGACAATCGCTTCCCACAAGTCTTCCACCGCCGAAAGAAAACATGCCGGGCCTGGCGACTGCAGAGCTGGGGAACCGCGCCAAGCCATCCAGGCCGCCCGCGGCCGCTCCCGCCTTCAGGACCCTGGAGAGCGGCCGCCAAGCCCTTGGGACCCACGCCCCGGCCCGCGCGCCTCGCCCCCTCCCGCGCCTCGCCACCCTGTCCCTTTTATTCGCTGCTTCCCGCCTCCACCTTCATTTTTCTTGGCAACCACCACTCTTGTTTTTCACAAACAGATTAAATTGTCTTTTTGTTTTGCTTAAGGGGGCTGTTTGGATTGCCTAAGTTAAGTTCCAGTTTGTAACTTCACTAAATGTTAGTGGACCAAGAAGCCCTGAGAGCCGCTCCAAAGTGAGAGGCTGAACAAGGCAGGTGACCTTAAAAACCCACTGAGTTCAATCCTTTTACCCTATAAATGAAGCAGACAAACTCAATGAGAGACTTTCCCAAGGTTAGCTGGTCAAGTCAGTTGCAAGGCTGAGTCTAGAACCCTGGGCTTCAACTTCTAAATTAATGCTTCCCTCTACTTTCCAAGAAAAAAAAAAATACTTGTACCTTCACCCTGGCCACTTAGATCTCCTAAGCGACAAGTGGAAGGTGGAAAGGCCTGTGTTCTGGAGAATAAGATGGACACATCGAGTGCCTGCGGAGTGTGCACCTAAGGACCCCAACACACTCCTGGTCTCCCACCCCACCCCACCCCACCCCACCCTACCCCACCCAGCACAACCAAAGTCAAATTGGCCGTTGCTTTTTCTACCCAGCGTGAGATGGGTCTCGGATTCCTCAGTCTTCTGCCACTATCTGAGTCTCCCCTAGACACCTATCACAATGGAACCTAGTAACCAAGGCCAACTTCTGTGCTCGAGCAGGTAGAGCTCTAGTACTGTGAGAGGTGGGGAAGGACAGAGGAAAGGTAGAATGAGCGGAGGGAGAAGAAGAACAAAAGTCACAAAAGTGAACTAGCAGATTTTCATCCAAATTCTAAAGAACAAAGAGATGTGAACACAGACGCTTCTGTACACTGCATCTCACAGTTAACGTGCATAGAAATCCCCTGGGAATGTTAACATTCAGATTCTGATGCAATAGGTCAGGATGGGTTCCGAGCTTCTGCATTTCTAACAAGCTCCTGGTTGTTATGAAGCTCCTGGTCCAAGGACCACACTTTGAGTAGCACGGAGTTAGAATGGTGGGGAGGGAGAGAAGGGGAGCGGGAGGAGAGCAGGGGGGAGAATCTAACCAAAGGCCTTTCCTTTTGCTCTCACTGACGTCTTGCACCCCCAAAGTAAAGCCTCAAAATCCTGTAGTAAATGGAACTAAGTGCACGTGTTCTTCACCCTTAGCTGGACCCAACAGTAACAGTGCGCTGGTTTTGTTTCTCTTCTTGCCCTGCCTCTTGCCCTGCCCGCCGGCCCTGCACAGCTCCCAGACTCGCCCGCTGCCCCGAAGCTGCTCAGCCTCCTTTCCAGCACGCTCTCCGACCTCGCGCGGGTCTTCTCTCACCTTCTCCGGCGACACCCTGCTGAGGCTCCCCAGCGGCGCCTGGACTTCTCCTTCCCGCTTCCAGCCCTGCCGGTGGCTGGGCTCTGGCAGAGGCACGAGGAGCGGCCGGGTCGCCTCTCGCTCCTGCTCGGGGCAGCTCTGGCACTGCCCGGCCGACCCCCAAGGGGACACCTGCCCAGGGAAGAGGACGCCAGCGCTGGGCAGAGCTCGCCCATGCCCGTGAGTACAGTTGTCTCCACCACGCCCCACCCCCGGCCTCACTCGGACGCCGGCATCCTCTGCTCCTTCCTAACCCCGACTGACTCACTCACGCGGAGCTAGCAGGGGCCCGGCCAGCGAGCGGGGGAGCGTGGCGGCAAGGTCGAGACAGGGATGAGCGCGCTCAAGGAAAAGGCGCCGGGGCTCGCCTGACACCCCCTCCCCGCAGGAGACTCTCGAAGCTACTTTTACTGGGCCATTGCCTTCCATGGTCAATGGAAGCGCGAGGGAGCCCTAGCCCTTCTTGAGGCTGCTTCTCAAACTCACGTTCTGAATGTGTCTCTCTCCTCCCTCCTGCAAGCCTTTCTCAGACGCGCCTCCGCCCCCTCCTCGCGCTCCCACTCCCCTGCCCTCTCGGCTTCTCCAGGCTCTGGAGGCCGGGAGGAAATGACGTGATGTTATTTTTGTGTCAGGTCGGCTTCCAGCTTCAGTTTAGCCCTCCGAGCCCGGGCTCACAGCCCCGGAGGTCCGACTGCGTCTCGCTGCTGAGGACACACCGGGGGCTGTAGGGACACGCGGCGCTCTGTGCACGCAGAGCTGGGCGGCAGGGTTCCTCCGCCACCCTCCAGGTCTTCGCCCTCCTCTGGACTCCGGAGTCCCCTGGGGACGGCTGCCGAGGGTCTCAATGGCATCCGGAGTCGAGAGTTAGCCCCTTCCTCCGCCCAGCCAGGTGGGGCCTCCGGCTCCGGCTGGCCAGGCGAGGGCGAGGAGCCCCCTTTCAGTGCGGGACAACCAGAGAAGGAGGCTGCCCCGTGGTGGGGCGGGGGCAGAGCTCGGAGAAGCACCCTGGGGAAAGGGAGAAGGTAAGGGGCGGCCCTGCAGAGGCGGGGCAGTCCACGGCGTGGCTCTCCAGGGACCAAGCACCCCCCCTGCGCTCGGCGCACCCCCTTGCGCGCACACACACACACACACTCGCACCTCCCTTCGCCCCCTTTCATTCACAAGGTCGGAGCACGCATTCCCGCACAGAGGAGTCTCGCTTGGCTCCCGCGCGCCGGAGCAAAAGGAGAGCAGATAGGGGTTTGCAGATGCCCTCAGCGCTCTCCTGGCCTTGCCCTCACACTCTCGGTACTTCCTAATCCCGGGGTGGAGAAGGGGGCTACGGTCCCAGCGCGGATTTGGTCCTGCGTGGGGCCTCGGGCGACCCCCCAGCCCCCGCCGCAGTGGAGCGCGCCGCCGCCAGAGGGGGCGAGACCTGGGATTGCCCGGCGGGCGAGGAGGGTGAGGGGGCGGGGAGGAGGCAGAGCAGAGCGAGAGAGGGGGAGGGAGAAGGCGGCGAGGGAAAAGACCGAGAGCCAGAAGGAGAGGAAAGCTGCAGAGAGCAATCGCGGTCGTAGTAAGGACTTCACTTGGGATTATAATAAAGATAAGGCACACGCGGGACGCATGCGCACGGCCGACGGAGACGAGCTGGCTGGAGCTTCCCCTCTCGCTCGCCCTGTGGACGGTGGAATCGTGAGTACCCCGCTTCCTCAACGCCCCCTTCTCCTTCTCGGACTCGCCCCGAGGCCTCGGGCCGGGAAGTGGCCGGGACCGAGCAGGGAGCGCACGCTGGGCAGTACCTGGCACTCTCTTCGTCGCCACGGTGGCGGGAGCGGGTGCGAGTCGGTCGCCTCCTCTGCCAGTCCAGCCCAGTCGGTGAGTCAGTGCATATTTTGGGGGTGTGTGGGCTTCGGGTGTGTCCGTGTCTGAAAGGGGGCTTTGAGCCACCAGGATCAATTTCTACCGGGTCCGCCAGGGTGTCCGCACGATTCAACCTTCGTGGCCTGGGGTCAGTGAGTGGGTGGGAGACGCAGGAGCCTAGCCCTTAAACCCTAAAATGTATGTTGACACCCCAAGTATATTTGGGAAACTCCAGGCGGGTTTCCCCTGGTTTGGGAGAAGGACGAGGAAGGGGCCGGGCGCCGGAGGCGGACAGCTTGAGCGCAGGTGGGAAGGAAGAGGAGACACTCCCTGAATCGCAGAACCTCCCTTTAGGAGAAGCCCAGTTCAGGCGGGGGACCGGAGGAGCGGGGCTGGGAAGTGGATACCCGCACGTGGACCCTAGAGGGGCTGACTCAGTGTCGACATTTACGCTCTTGAAAACCGAATGGTGGGCACTGTCCCCCACCGTTTGCCAGCGTCAAGGCGATTAAGGTGCGGGCGCCGTGGAGATTTTTCTTGGACAAACCCGAGCGATTGACTCTTCCGCACTCTTGGAGCCGCTTCGGGAAGTTGGAACGCGCCTGGGCACCCGGGCTGCGGAGACTGGAGAGAGGAGTGGGTGGGCGCGGGATCTAAGGAGAGGCGGCGCGCTGGGAGGGGGGTGGGCTTTTAGGGGTCGGTGTGCTCGGCGACTCTCCTCCCTGCAAACGTGGGTGAATGAGCGGGGGAGGCGCCTTGGACCAGCCGGCGCGCGGAGGAGTGGGCGTTTTCGGGCTGTTCAGTGTGCGGGGCGGCCCTCCTGCGTCTGGGCGGAGTGGGCGGGAGGGGGTGGGTATTGGGGAGTCTTTGTGCTCTGTGACCTGCCCACCCTGCCTGTGGGGGCGTGGGCGGGGAAAGGGCCTTGGCAGAGGCGGAGCCCCCTGGCAGGAGAGGGTTGCGAGCCTCCAGGACTCGCAGATGTCCGAGGAAAACCCAGGCGAGCGACCCCAGCGGCGGTAACGAGTGATCGCAGCCGGGCGAGGGGGCGCGGGCTGGGCGCCCGGGGGAGCCCCGCGGCGGAGGCGCAGAGGAGTGAACGTGGATGCGGAGTTTCTGTCCGGGAGGAGGAGAGCGCTAGAGAGGAAGTCTCTCCTCCCTTCGCTCCTTTCTCAGAATCCGGCAGAGGCCGATCGGTCTTTGTGGAGCCCCGGCTCCCGCCAGGCCGTCTGGCTGGAGTTCGCTGGTTGTCCCAACCGCAGCCGGTGCCTTCGGTGCGGGCGGGATTCCTCTCGCCCACCGGCGAGCAGAAGCAGTCACCTGCCCACCAGGGCTCCGCGTGGCCCCCGGAGTGTGGGGAGCAGGGGGCTCCTTGCATCAATCTCCAGTCATCCTCCTTGAGTCAGTCCCCTTCTTCCGGGGCACAGGTCGCAGGATCCCTTGGCTTCTTTTCACTTCTAATGGTTCCAGATTGTGAAATTGACTAAACAAGGGTCCGAGTTGACGAAAGGGTCTGACTTCCTCCGCAAACTTGGCAAGGACATTTCTAATGAAATGACTCTATCTGTAAATTCTTATTTTTTGCTCATAACCTAATTTTCTACTGCGCTTCATCCTGTTTATCTTCTGTTCATTAAGTGGCATCTTTTGTATTACGTATTAGTAACGCATATGAGAGGCAGTATTGCCTAATGGGTAGGAGTCCTGGGCTCTGTAACTGTTTGTATTCAAATCCCAGCCTAGGTGTGTGACCTTAGGCAAGGTACATGACCTCTCGGTGCTTTAGTTTTATCATCTGTAAAATGGGATAATAAAAGTACCTGCCTGGTAGGGTAGCTGCCAGCATTCAGTTTAATACAGTAGAGCTCTGGCACATATGAAACAAAAGCTATTATTACTATTATTATTATATTGATGCCAAATGGGCTAAGTAGACTTCAAAATATAAACAGGTGAGGAACAAAATGCATATTTTTGTATGCTATAAAGAGTATACATAGTGAAATAGATGTCCATCATCAAAATTAGAAACAGTAAATGTTTTCTATGTCAATATTTAAATTTAAGTACAATGCGTTTCTTCATCATCTGGACTCCTTTTATTTCAAATAGTTATGAAATATTTACATACGAGCTTCAAACAGTATTAAGAAAATTATCTCTAAGCTTCAAAATATTTCGCTTTGTAAAACATATGCTTAAAAATACACATTAGGTCATGGTATATACGGAAAACCCATGTCTGCGTTAAAATATTGCGCTGTCATTTTTTTTTTTAAAGAGAATCTGGAAACTTACCTTAGGAGCTAGAAATGCTAACTTCTCTAAGATCATTTTAGGCAAAATACCCTTGATATCAAGAATATAGAGCGATAAAAGTAAGATTACTTATGCCACCTCCTTCACTTTACAGATGAGGAAGCATTCAGAGAGCTTAAGAGTTGCCGCCAGAGATCTCTAGCTAATAGGGGCTGACATAGGATTAGAATTGGGTCTTCTGACTCACTCTCCAGGGCTCTTATACACCACACTGATGGTTTCCTATTTACTACAGATTTATGAACCTTTAACAAGTAGGAAACCAGAAGGTTTTACGTGAGGAAAAATATACACGCATGTGTTATCTCCAACATAAGAGAGACCAGGAGGTAATGTGGTGACTGTTGTCCCACGGCTTCATCAAGGTCCCTCACAGCAGAAGATATGACTGCATGACTTGCCTAAGATAAGGTAAGGTTACAGATGAAGCTAGAGGCAGAGCCCACATTAGAATTTAAGGTCCCACTGGTTTATACAATTAGTTGCATATTCTATTAATTCCTTGTAGCGGTTTTAAATTAGGAATCGTTTTGAGCTTTTCTTAAATTCTTAAAATCTCCTTCCTGCTGGCTTTGAAGGTCTTTCCAGTAAGATAGCTTTTTAGGAAAGGCCTTCAAAATTACATAGAAGGAGATTTTATTATTCCAACTTTGGGGGACAAGAAAGAGTGAAAGAGAAAAAAGTTCTCGTATTTTAATGCAATAGCCTGATTAGTGATTTCATTCCAGGCACTTGACTATCAATTTCTAAAATCCTACTGGTCTTGCATTTCTGCAAGTGGCAGGCTAATGACATTCACCTTCCACAGACAGATGCAGCTGGTGGCTTAAAGGTCCAGCCCTCACATGAGTGGTTTATGAATTACATGTTAGAGCCTTTCAAGTGAGCATCTGGTCTTGCAAAGTTATTTATAGAATGGTGTGTCTTCCAGGGAAGACACTTCTAGGAACTATGCCTGCATCCTTGAGAAAGGAAACCATGGTTCTTCTCTCCGGTGCGTGAACTGGATTTCCTACCCTTGA